ATATCATTGATAAAATGTTGAAACGTTGCAGGGGCATTACAGAGCCCGAAAGGCATCACTAGATATTCGTAGAGACCATATCTTGTCCGGAAGGCGGTTTTCCATTCATCATCCTGTTTTATTCTAATGAGGTTATATGCGCCTCGAAGGTCGAGTTTAGTGAATATAGTTGCAGTTCTTAACCTTTCAATTAATTCATTTATTAGTGGAAGAGGATAACGATTTTTAATAGTTATTTTATTTAAGGCTCTGTAATCTATAATAGGACGGATGGTTTGGTCTTTATTCTTCACAAAGAAAATACTAGAAGCAGCAGGAGAGGTCGAGGGTCTGATGAACCCTTTGCGTAAATTTTCATTAAGATATTCTTTTAAAATTTCTAACTCCTTTTCAGAGAGTGGATAAATATGACCATAAGGAATAGGAGCTCCGGGTATGAGATCTATTGGGCAATCATATAGCCGATGAGGAGGAAGTGTTTCCGCTTCTTTTTTACAAAAGACATCTGCAAAATCGGAGTAGAATGGAGGTATAACTGGTTCTACAGTAGTTTGGAGAATAGGAATGTGTTGTAAGCACGTTTTTTTACAGAAATCAGAAGCAAAGGAGATGGAGAAGGGAGACCACTTAATTAAAGGATCATGGTTTTTTAACCAATTAATTCCTAGAATGACGGGATAAAGTGGAGATTTAATAATATCAAATGTAATGAATTCGAAATGTACGTTGTTGGTAATCATTCTTAGAGGGATTGTTTCATCTTTGATGGGTCCTGAGGATATAAATGAACCGTCAATAACTCTGATTGGAATAAAATTGGTTTTTTGAACACAAGGAATTTTATTTTTTGAAACAAAAGAAAAATCAAGAAAAGTTCCATTAGCACCAGAATCAATGATGGCCTCAGTCACGATTCTTTTTGTATCCCACTGTAATATGAGAGATATAGAAAAATAAGTAGATGCTTTTCTTTTTTGAAAAACGTTCAATATAGAGGTAGATGAATGAAGCTTACCACCTTTTGAATGTTTCAGTAGAGGACATTCGGAAATTAGATGTTCATTCGAAGCACAATACATACATAAGTTTAGTTGTCTCCTTCTTATTCTTTCTTCAGAAGTAAGAGGACTTTTTATTATACCTACTTCCATAGGTTCAGTTTGTGGAGGAATTTTTTCAGGTAGTTTTAGAGTAGTGAAAGGTTTTCTCCAGGTAGAATTAGTAAGAACCCTTTCAGCTTTTCTTTCTCTTAGACGTCTATCAATACTGATAGACAGTTGAATCAATGCATTTAAGGTAGGAGGAAGTTCTGTACGAGAGAGTTCATCTTTCACAGCTTCAGATAATCCGAGACGGAATTGATTGCGTAAAGTAATGTCATTCCATTGGGTTTCTGTAGCCCATCTTTTGAATTCTGCAATATAATCTTCAACAGGTCTATTCTTTTGGTGTAATGTTCTGATGGTTAAATCAGCAGTAGTTTGTTTAAAAGGATCTTCATATAATAAAGACATAGCTTCAAAGAACTCATCCAATGAATCCAATATGGGATCATCATTTTCCAAAAAGGAATGGGCCCATGCCATAGGTTCACCTCTTAAAAAAGAGATCACTGAACAGACTTTGGATCTTTCGGTGGGATAAGATCTAGGTTTTAAAGCAATTAGTAGTTTGCAAGAATTCAAAAACTCTCTGTACTTTGTTCTATCTCCATGAAATTTTTCTGGATTACAGACAGCAGGATCACCAGCCGATTGAAGAGCGGCATGAGGAAGATGACCTTGAATGTCTCTAACATAGGTTAATATTCTCTCATTTGTAATTTGCAGTTCCTGTAACCCTTGAGCAATCGTATCCACTCTATTGGTTAGGGCAGAAACTTGAGAGTTAATATCTGCTGGTTCCATTGAAGAGGCTGAATTATTCTGTAATACTTATTTTGTAATATTTCTTTAATTGGAACTCAACTGCAGCATTTCTTGGTTGCAACAACAATAAGGTTCACCTCCTTTTATATTGGTATGAAACTATGGTCACTGTACCTTTAAATATCCATGTAGGTAAAATTAGGCTTTGTAGCAATCCCTTATGAGTAAGAGGAATAATTAGACAAAGTGACACTTTAGTGAGTTTTAGATACTGTGTAATATAAATAATAGTAATTGACTTGTTTGGTAAAAGTATTACTTAACTTAAAGGCAGTTCTGGCACTGGAAGGGTTAATTCACCCAATGAAGGAGAAATTAGAAGTCCGTTTCAACAAGCTGAGAACTAGGAGTGGAGAGTGGGGAAGTCCGTTTTAACAAGCCGAGGTCTGGGAGTGGAGAAGGTAGAATTCAGAGTTACAAGCCGAGGTCTAGGAGTGGAGAAGGTAGAAATCCGTTTACAAGCCGAGGTCGAGAAGTGGAGAAGGTAGAAATCCGTTTACTAGCCGAGGTATAGAAGTGGAGAAGGTAGAAATCCGTTTACTAGCCGAGGTATAGAAGTGGAACAGGTAGGATCAGAAGTAGAGCAGCTGATCTTCATGCAGCACCTGTGCGAATAATTCAGCCCTTTGAATCTGGCGCGGTCCTCCTAAGTATCGTGGAGGGACCGCGTCAGAGAAAGGGGCGGGGCTGAGCGCCGTGAACCCGGAAGTGGGTTCCGGCGATAAATTACATGCCATGCTATACCTGACAATTCTGATCCTAGTTACTTACAATTCTGGTTTATACAATATTGCCACTATTCCATTTCTCCACCTATTGTATTTGCAGTTAATTTCCCCATATATGTTGGTTTATAAAATTGACCATTGCTATGTTCATCACTTATCTACGTTCATCACTAATTTGTCTCTGGGCTATCCATTAATTTTTAGGCAACATCTGCTTAGGTATCCATCAATTACCGGACAAGTGTAGTTATGTGACAGATTCATAATTTGCATACTTTCAAGAGGTTTCATCACTAGTAGAATTTTAATCTTTGTCTCAATACTAATAGGTTAATTTCACGTTATATGCTGTTAATCATATTTATGTCATCTGGTTTATTCTAACTGCTTATACTAATCTTGTTTTTACAGCGTTCCCCCAGTCAGCTACCGCATTAACCCCTCAATTGGTTGCAAGGTTATATTGGTTAGTCTCTTAGATGTTTATAACAATTACCTTAGTCAGCGTATAACTCCTGTGTATGGCAGATTCCAGATTATCAACTGTTCACGGTATTCTTCCTCCATGTTATAGGTATTCTTAGTTGGACCCTTAGTGGTATCCTAGTGATTGCTGTCACCTAAGTCTCTCTGCTCATTACTAATTTCAGGTCACAGGTAAGTGGTCCTTCATTGCCCTTTATGTTTATCATGACAGGTTAGTTCAGTCGACCAGGTATCTACCGGCCTTATCACTCTTATCAGGGCACGCACCATAGCCTACATGTTTTCCTCACTTATGCAACGATATGCATGGGCCAACAAGAGGCTTAATTCCTTAGGTTTGACCCATGCGTGGTCCGCCCTACGTTTACTTTCAAAGTCGAATGGAAGAACAGCTCCCAGCATTATCAAACCTTTTAGCCCACAAATTGGTCTGATTCTTTGTCAGGCACCAAGAAGTGACAACCACATGCACTAAGCGGCACTGGTCTTGAAGATCGTCTCAAAACTAAAGCCTTGGCCCCCTGAGGGGAGAAATCTACTCGTGGTGTCTACGACCTATTCCAGCGGTGAGTGGGGTGGACGGCTGCCACCCTTCTATCCTACATACCGGAAACAAGCCAGATCCTCAACTGCCCTGGACGATGGCCCTTCTCCCCCCCCTTTGGATCGGTGGGGGTCATCCCGGTTGTGACAGATTCATCTGCATTGTTGGTTCGTCTGTTTCCCTTTGTTCGCGGAATTGCCTGTTCCTATACCCCCGTTCGTGTATTTGCAAAATGCCGATTGAAACTACCGAACGAACGGCCACCCAGGAGAGGAGTGTGCTGCTGGTTAACCTCTTGGCCCCAATTAGACGTTGTGGTTAACCGCAGACACCTCTCCATTCCATTCGTACGGGTGGTCGTCGTTCGCATGTCGACCACGAGGCAGCGGCCATTTTGGGACATACGAACACAGAGCGGTGTTCGGTACAAACTGTATGGAACTAAAAACGGACACTTAAACTACCGAACACCGCTGAAAAGCTGCTGCCTACCTTCCTTTTCGACAAGGCATGCGAACGTCGGTCGTTCGGGAGTTTTATTCAGTCGTATGGACTTTTACCCTGACAGCCATCCCATGGAGTCATTCGTATACCGAAGGATTGGTGAAAGACTTTGACTCCATGGCGATTCGACTAGATACATCGGATCTGAGCGCTATTCGATGAAAACATGCCCTCAGATCCAGGCTGTCTGGGGATACGTTACACGAACCATATGCATTCGGTATTTCTGTAGTTATGTATTTTAATGTCTTTTTGTTACTGTAAATTAAGATGGCGATGGTCTCTACCTTGGGAGATAATTAGGTTTCTTCCCCAATTATCTCCAAGGTAAAGAAGACGGAATTATGGGCAAGATGGGAAGGGCTACTGTTGAAGCCACTGCGATTGGCTACTGTACAATATGTGTTACAGTCTTCCACAAGGTCCCCTCGGGGAGTGTCCACCTTGTGGAGACCTGCATAAATACCGGGCAGGTAGCCCCATTAAACAGATCTTCATTTGACCCTCAAGACGGAGCTTGGTCTCGTTTGTGGGGGGAATTATTATTGGGACAGCGTTTTCGTTATTTCTAGCTGTGGAAGGCGTTCGACTGTTTGGCTGATCGGGAGTTGCCGTGTTCGCGGACTTCGTTCGGGAGTTTGGCGATCGGCTGGATTTAAACCTGCATTTCTGGAGAAGGGGATTATTGCCTAAACAGCGGCTTCATCTACCCGACGGTACGTGTCGTAACACCGGTCCACCCTGAAGCCCTACCACTGGCTTGCCAGCAATGTCAGCTACCTGCATCGAATGACTCGCTTACCAAACAAGATGGCGGCGGAGTCTATTCCTCCCTCTACGGAGATGGTGGTCTCTCTCGGGGCTCTTGGCGCCCCATGCGGGCAGGGCAACACTTTCTGTGTCACATATGGCTCACGGGTGCTAACAATCGACACCGAGGCAGACTACCGGAAGCACCGACCTCTCCCTCTCCACACGCCCACAACATGGCAGAATCACATGTCACTCCACAACCTCAAGTGACACACTGCACCTGGTCCTGAGGAGTGACAGGCTAGTAAGGCTTTGATGGCTGTCCACCAACAGACTCATGTCTCAAACAGGGACTCTAACCGGCCGGTGCTGGGGGAGGTTGGATCTCTATCAGTGGACTGGGGTGACCAGTCCAAGGGCTCAGGGGTCTAGATTCGCTATGGCATATATAATCGCATATCAGCTTCTCTCCTATTGCTTTAACTCTAATGTCAGACTGTTTAACTAGTTTTATTTACCTTTTTAAAGCAAAAAAGGTGAGGCATCTGCGACATATGAGGCCGACTTTTCTTGTTAAACATGCCTTTCCTTACAATGGCCTCAGTATAAGCGGCAACATACCCTTATCTAGCATATTAACAAACTGAATATACTTCTTGACATGCAAAATCCATGCTTATAATTATCTCTGTATAATGTCTAGTTCATGTCAGGATTTCTTGCTACCAGAATGATCTACATTTAAAAAAAAAAAAAAAAGTGCTAGTCTCCCAACATGACCAGTTGTGTACCTGCAATTTCCTTTGTCACAATAACTGTCAATGTCAATATCTGATTCTGTTTCTTTCTATGCACTACAAAAATAAAAAAGTTTATTTTATAAATATAACCCAGCGTTTCCCAAACTGTGTGCTGCAGCGCCAAAATATTTCCCCGGTGCGATTATCATAGTACCGGGAACCATGCCTCCCTCTCCCCCTGCCAGCTCTGCAGGACTGGAGGGGAGGTCAGAGATCTCCCTCTTTGACCCGCTAGCACTGAATTGCTGGCAGCCAGCAGGGGAGGACCCGTGGAGCTCTAACATGCAGCTCTGTCTGGGTTCACCTCTCGCAAGCTTACCATGGCAACGCTCTGAATCTAGTAAGAGTGAACTCTAGCAGCTTCTGAGGTTGCTAGAGTTCACTCTCACCACTTGGGCTTCTCCACCGAACCACCAGGGATTACCTTGTATTGTCCCCTCTCCCAGGCAAAGGTGCGCGGGTGGGGGGAGATATGATTTATTTATTTTTTTTATATATATTTATATATATATATAAAAAAAAAATATATATATATATATATATATATATATATATATATATAAATCGAACTGTACCTTGCACACAGGCTCCTAAAGCTTCCAAGACCGGGTGCATAGCCTGGGCTTCAATATCAATATAAGCAGATAGGATCAATCCTGATGAAAGTCCACAAGGTGGACTGAAACGTCGATTTTATGGAAACTGAATAAAAGTTATTTTTTAAATGGAAATCCGTGAGTGCAGCCATCCTATCTGCTGATATATATATATATATATATATATATATATATATATATATATATAACAAAATCCAAATAGGTTATGGTGGGGAAAAATTGTGATTGAAAACCCCTTCCACCTGAAGTCTGTGGTTAGTTAATACAATGTTAAACAAAAATCTGCACACCAGTCAAGTCATAAGACTTGCTTTTCCCACAGAAATCCCAAATCTGCAGTGATGTTACAACCGCACAGGATTCTGGGTGGGCATATGCAAATTAGTTTAACAAAGAATCACATTTTTGCCTCATTATTCCATTTTAAACATGGATTCCTTTTAATCTGTGTTTGCAGTATACAACTGCTTGGAACACAATTTAGAATAGATGCAAAACCAGTGAACCACTCATGGACAGCTGTTTCGTTGTTAATGCAACTCTTCAGCATGAGGTTGGTTACTGGTTTGCTTATTGAGGCTTGGTAGTGCTTGAGAAGCAAAATCCAAATAGGTTATGATGGGGAAAAATTGTGATTGAAAACCCCTTCCACCTGAAGTCTGTGGATAGTTAATACAATGTTAAACAAAAATCTGCACACCAGTCAAGTCATAAGACTTGCTTTTCCCACAGAAATCCGAAATCTGCAGTGATGTTACAACCGCAAAGGATTCTGGGTGGGCATATGCAAATTATTAATCTACCATCCTACCCCACAGACCCACAATAATTCTCCCCTTTACACAACAGCTTGATCGGCTAAACACTGACATGACCTCATATTTAAGCCCTTAGGGACGCAACTTCAGAAGCTGGATATACACTTAAGGACACAAGCAATTTTTTGCTGTTTCTGTTCAGCTGGTACATTGCATCTCTCTCATTTATTGCAACAAAAAGGACTTCAGTTTGATGTGACACATACATGTATAAATTATGATTTATTATAAAAAAAAGGAAATAAAATATATTTTTTATTTTTTTTCACAGTTTTGGCAATAATGTGTGCATAATTTGTCCAGCGTAGGAAAAGTAAATCAAAATAAATTCATTTGTCTTGATTTATAGAGTACATAATATGTGTAGCATTTGAGTTGTACAGGGAGTGCAGAATTATTAGGCAAGTTGTATTTTTGAGGATTAATTTTATTATTGAACAACAACCATGTTCTCAATGAACCCAAAAAACTCATTAATATCAAAGCTGAATATTTTTGGAAGTAGTTTTTAGTTTGTTTTTAGTTATAGCTATGTTAGGGGGATATCTGTGTGTGCAGGTGACTATTACTGTGCATAATTATTAGGCAACTTAACAAAAAACAAATATATACCCATTTCAATTATTTATTATTACCAGTGAAACCAATATAACATCTCAACATTCACAAATATACATTTCTGACATTCAAAAACAAAACAAAAACAAATCAGTGACCAATATAGCCACCTTTCTTTGCAAGGACACTCAAAAGCCTGCCATCCATGGATTCTGTCAGTGTTTTGATCTGTTCACCATCAACATTGCGTGCAGCAGCAACCACAGCCTCCCAGACACTGTTCAGAGAGGTGTACTGTTTTCCCTCCTTGTAAATCTCACATTTGATGATGGACCACAGGTTCTCAATGGGGTTCAGATCAGGTGAACAAGGAGGCCATGTCATTAGATTTTCTTCTTTTATACCCTTTCTTGCCAGCCACGCTGTGGAGTACTTGGACGCGTGTGATGGAGCATTGTCCTGCATGAAAATCATGTTTTTCTTGAAGGATGCAGACTTCTTCCTGTACCACTGCTTGAAGAAGGTGTCTTCCAGGAACTGGCAGTAGGACTGGGAGTTGAGCTTGACTCCATCCTCAACCCGAAAAGGCCCCACAAGCTCATCTTTGATGATACCAGCCCAAACCAGTACTCCACCTCCACCTTGCTGGCGTCTGAGTCGGACTGGAGCTCTCTGCCCTTTACCAATCCAGCCACGGGCCCATCCATCTGGCCCATCAAGACTCACTCTCATTTCATCAGTCCATAAAACCTTAGAAAAATCAGTCTTGAGATATTTCTTGGCCCAGTCTTGACATTTCAGCTTGTGTGTCTTGTTCAGTGGTGGTCGTCTTTCACCCTTTCTTACCTTGGCCATGTCTCTGAGTATTGCACACCTTGTGCTTTTGGGCACTCCAGTGATGTTGCAGCTCTGAAATATGGCCAAACTGGTGGCAAGTGGCATCGTGGCAGCTGCACGCTTGACTTTTCTCAGTTCATGGGCAGTTATTTTGCGCCTTGGTTTTTCCACACGCTTCTTGCGACCCTGTTGACTATTTTGAATGAAACGCTTGATTGTTCGATGATCACGCTTCAGAAGCTTTGCAATTTTAAGAGTGCTGCATCCCTCTGCAAGATATCTCACTATTTTTTACTTTTCTGAGCCTGTCAAGTCCTTCTTTTGACCCATTTTGCCAAAGGAAAGGAAGTTGCCTAATAATTATGCACACCTGATATAGGGTGTTGATGTCATTAGACCACACCCCTTCTCATTACAGAGATGCACATCACCTAATATGCTTAATTGGTAGTAGGCTTTCGAGCCTATACAGCTTGGAGTAAGACAACATGCATAAAGAGGATGATGTGGTCAAAATACTCATTTGCCTAATAATTCTGCACTCCCTGTATTTTGTAATCTGTAACTTTCAAAATAAAGGACTAAAATAAAATGTTTTATAAATTGGTATATTTGTCTTGTAAGTTTAATAGCCATCACAGAAAACAAAATTGTCACTAAAAAAGTATATATTTATATAAAGTAGACATCAAAGGTTATTTTGACACTTATGTTATAGCCATTTCACTGCCAATCTTTGCTATATATTGTAGTACAATTGTGTTTTTTCTCTTTTGACATACACACACGGTTTTTTTTTTATATGCACTTTGTAAAGCTGGTGTGTGCTACTCCTGTACAAAACCCCATATTGTGTTCATCTACATCTGCGGAGTACGATACCCCCATTGTATGCCTTTGGCACCAATCTACAATGCCATGTAAGAGACCAGGCTATTTCAGTTTCTATATTTAGAATTGTCATAGATGGATTTGATGGGCCTATGTCTGCTTTTGTGGCATTATAGCAATTTGAGTGTTCAAATAACCCAACAAAGACCTACTATTCGAGAAAGCAGACACTCCAGGGTATTTTATATGGCGTATATTGTGCCTAAACGTGCTGCCATTTTTTCACCAATTTATGTCAAGATTTGTGGTAAGAAACAAAAAAAAGGCATAATTTTACATAAATGTTGCATTTTTGCTGGGTATTTCGTACATTTGATATGTGCCACTATCACAAAATCCCACAAATTATGCTCAATTACATCGAAAATAATATGCCCAATGTATGACCTACACACTATTTTGATGTTACAGTGCTGTAAAATAGACATTTAAATTTCCGATTTTTAAGTGTGAATTTCCATAGATGGTTTGATGGGTCCATGTTCCATTTTGGACCATCTTAGCAGGTTGTTTTTTTCCAACTATCCCATAAAAGCATTAGGCATACTATTTCTTAAAGAAGACATCCCAGGGTATTTCAAAAGGCATATTTTGAATCTTAGCGTGGGATAATTTTTCTGCTAGCTTGTAGTGGTAACAAGCATTTTGGACACACAGTAAGTTTGTACAGGATATTTTGCAAACCTTATGTGTGCTACAGCAGTTTAATACTTCATATGTTGCTCAACTATGTCATCTGATTAAAGCAATAACCGTATGTACCTTTGCCAGGTATAAGTGGACGTTGAAGGGGCACTTTTGAGACACAGCCATTTAAGTTTTTTCAAACTTTTAAATTTGTCCCATTTTGGAGTATTTCAGATGGATTTTTATTGCAGCTAACCCACAAAGGCATACCATTTCTGAAAGAAGACACCCAGAGTGTTTTAAAAGGCATATTTTGAACCTTAGGGTAGGATCATTTTTTTTTTTTACTAGCTTGTACCAAGTGTAGAGGTAATAAGCATTTATCGCCCTTTTTTTTTTTTACTTTTAATAACTTTCTTTACAATTTTAAAACTTTGCTTAATCCTTTAAAAAAAGTTTTAACCCCTAACTAGCCTAACAGTAAATCCCAAATCCCCCACTAACTTCTATTCAACCCAGCTAAATAATTTGCAAATATTTAAGTAACTAATTAAATGTAATCCCAAAAGGTAAAATAAATACAATAAATGTTAACCCTCAGGGGTTAAAAAAATTAAGATCACAGTGAAACTTGTATTTTAAGCACTGCAGGCAGTGATAAAAGGGCAAGTAGGGGTTAACTTTTATTAGAAAGGATAAGGGGGGTTGTTATTTTAACCTAACACCTTTTTTGACCAAGAGAAGCAGTCTCCCTGCACTTTACAGCTTACACTGAGGTGCAGGGAGGCAGATCAGATTTCACTGCAGCACATGTGATCACACTGATTGCCTGTTAGAGCGATCACATGGGCTCTGACAGTGAGACTGCCTGCTGCCTATCTGCCACATTAACCCGATCACAGTCTCCATTGAGGCAATCTTGGGTTAATTATAGTAAAGGACAGAAATTTTCCGCCTTGCGTCCTTAAGGGGAAGACTACAATGACAAAAAATTCCTGTCTTGCGTCGCGAAGGGATTAACAAGCATTTGGTCATTCTAAAGCACATACATAGATTTCAGTTCACCTACCCTTTGCCGGCACATGGCATTCCTGACATCGGGTGTGCCCATAAATGGGGTGTGTTATTTTGTTGTGCATGCTAAATGATAAAGGGCTACCAAGGACTAGGGATCGACCAATTATCGGTTTTACCGATATTATCGGCCGATATTCGGTATTTTTGGCAATATCGGTATCGGCCAATAAAGATACCGATATTGCCGATAATACATACCAGGACCACCGGGCCCATTAGAAGCCTGGCAGTCCTGGTGGGGCCCGCAGCAAGTGCTTACTTACCTTCCCAGCAGCTCCCTGTCTAAATCTTGCGAAACCCGCAGCCGCAAATCATTGCCACGGGTTACCATGGCAATGCTCTGCGCGACATGCAGGCTGCGAGATTTAGACAGGGAGCTGCTGGGAAGGTAAGTAAGTACTTGCTGCTGGGCCCCCACTGTACTTTCAGAGCCACCGGACCACCAGGGAATACTATAACCCCCCTCCCTGGTAAGAAGCAGGGAGGGGGGAATACATTTAAAAAAAAACAAAAACATTTAAATATAAAAAAAAAAAAATGCTCCCCCGCCCCCCATTTTACACAAATTACATCCCTACACACACACACAAACACACACACACTGCATTATATACACACTACACAAACACACTGCATTATATACACACTACACAAACACACACACTGCATTCACTATATATACACACTACACAAACACTCACTGCATTCACTATACACACTACACAAACATTCACTGCATTCACTATACACACTACACAAACACTCTGAATTCATCATATACACACACTACACAAATACACACCACATCCACTACACACATACTACACAAACACACACAGCTCCCCTGTCTAAACACACTGCATCCACTACACTTGGCATGTATATTTTGTGCATTTACCTTTAGAAATAGGTTTTTTTTCAAAATGGTAAATATACAGAATATCGGCAAAGTATCGGCTATCGGCCTGAAAGTTCACAGATTATCGGTATCGGCTCTAAAAAATCAATATCGGTCGATCCATACCAAGCATAGTGATCCATTTTGGTTGTCCATGTCCTGAGCACTACTGAAGCAATCGTGTATGCCAATATTTTATCCCAAATTCAGTAGATGCACTCACACTACACTCTGCCCCCAGCCCTCTCTACCTTCTTGTAAATCTTGACTCCAACAATTTCCCAAGTACATGTTTATCAACATGTTCAATTTATTTTGCATAAATGTAACATTTGATTTAAATGTTATAATTTCTACCAGTTATGGTTTCTGTTTTCATTTAGTACATAGATCTTCCACTGCCTTTTTTCCCCTCAATTTTTCTTTTCTTTTAGATGAGATTGTAAAAGATAGTAATAGAATATCTCGAATTGTGAATGGTATCTCTCTATTTCTGTATATTATTTTTTATTTTTTTTATTTCTATTTTTATTTTTATTTATTTTTATTAATTTTTTCATTTTTTTTTGTTATACTGATGCACAGTGTTGTGTTTTCGCTGTAATTTGAAAAAGTGAAATAAAGATTTAAACATGAAAAAAATTTTTTTTCTTTTGTCTTGCAAAAAGTACTTAACTGGCCGTCACAGGGTATTTCTGCCCTTATAACTTTGCGTATGCAGTGAAAAGTTTAACAATTTAGATCACCCACAAAATTCTTAAAATTATAGGATATGCAAACCTAATGGCAGTCACACTGTTATGACCATTATCAAATATTACAAGTTTTTAGAACTAAATTCTTTATTTTGGGTGTGCACAGAGTTAACAAATAGCCTTGGTACATCACAACAGCGACCCCAGGTACGGTTGTTAAACATTGATATTACATGTCATGGCAGTCGTTATACAGGCACATTTTTATGATAGTATGATCTCTCTTACAGTAGTTCACATCCGCTTTTAGTTCAGATAAGTTAGCACAAAGTACATCATGGGAGAATAGGCAGAGGAGAAACAAAAGAGGAAAACATGACATGCAGAGATTATATGAACAAGATTATACTATTAAGCTCCTGCTAGGCTTATTGACGAGGTGGTTGTGCATCTCTCTTGTCTGCCTAAGCGGTGATTAAATGGTTGCATGTTGTTCTAGCCTTAAGCTAAGGTGTGGGTGGCTTGGAAACATAGACAAAAATATAAAAGCAGCGGCAACAATGAGGATTGTGTTTCAAAGCTTAAAATGACCACCTCGTGTTGGCCTGGGATTGCCCCAACGAGGGACAAGAACCTCGCAGCAAGCCTCTCCTCAAGACCAGGGTTGCCTCTTGCACTGGGGCACAGCTAACAGTCGTTAGGTATATGTTATGCCGTTTTTTAGGGTCGAAAACTGGAGAAGTTTTCAGGAGCTACTCCACTGTGCGTTCCCTCAGCATGACGGTCCGGCCTCGCCCCGGCAAACAATTTTTTAAACTGTGTACTGTGTAATTTTTTTAAACTGACAATTTGTAACAAATTAAAAATCTTTTTCATACGTTTCTTTAATAAATTACATCATGGGGGGCGGGGCAGGACCGCCGAGCGGGAAAGACACAAGTCAGAGCAGCTCTGGGACCACACTAAAGAATACTCTTTAAAACCATGTCTTACTATCCAAAACCAGACCAACTGCGAAGACACCCAATGCTGAGGGTCTGCTGGACCCGGGGAGAGACTGGCTCGTCGAGCTTCAGTCCCTCAGGGGAAAAAACTACGCTGCCCCAACTGAGTCCTTCTCTGGCGGTGAGAGGGATGGACGGCCGCTGCCCCACTATCCTGCACCACAGCACCCAGCCACAGGTACATACCGACCGAGACCCGTCCCATCCCTATGGACCGGTGGGGGTGATCCTGGTCCTCACCCTTTGGCCCTGACCGTGGCACCGCAATTGGGGTCAGGGAGATCGACAGCCACATTCAAAATGGTGGGCACCATGTGCGCTGACAGCAAGGGGAAGACCTGCTCCCTCCTCGCCACACAGATACGAAGGCGGCTCTTACCTTTCGATCATGCCACATAGAGCGCGGCTACATCCATGCCAAACCCCGCAGCCACTCAAGCTAATGACGGGCTGCACAGGCGACTCAAGTACACAGAGCACAAAGGCTGCAATGAAGGGACAGCCTACTGAGAAGCAAGCATTCTCGTCTGATGCGCCAGCACCAGCCGCCAAGCAAGACTCCACAAGAGAACAGGCACTGCACTCACGTACCAACCAGCCTGCAGCAAAACAATCAAGAAAGCGGCAGACTCCCGCGGCAAACACCCGGCTCTCGACCATGGCGGACACCAGCCAGCAGTTGACCGAAAGCGGCAAGCCCAACAAAATAATACGGCAACAGGGGAAGACCCAGCGCAGAACAACACAGGGACAAACTATGTTCTGATGCCTGCTCTGAAGGATTCTTGCCTTTTGCCACACATACACAGCAGAGCAGGTTTCGGATAAAAACAGGACTATGTTTCTATGTTTCTATGACTACACCTTTCTGAGAGGCCCTGGGCCCACAATGGTGTCAACTCCTTCCTACTGAGGCAGGTTGGACTCTACGATCCACCAGGGTGACAATTTCTCTAGCAGCTATAGTTTCTCTGCACTGACATAAGTAGACCTAGCATAAAAGTTATACTCTAGCTAGTCCTAATTCTATACAAAAAGCGATGTTACATACCTGTAATATGTGTGTAGTTGCTAGATTAGTCCTGTGCTGACCAAGCCTGCCAACTTAACCACGTCAATCTTTAAAGTTTGAATCCTGTCCCCCTGCAGCAGGCACTACTCAATAGAATACATACCTGATGTTTTACATGTGCGATTTACTATGCATGTCCAATAACAATCTAGCAATAAGATCTAAGTAATTTTTCAGTTTCTAACCGACTTGTTAATACTTCATGTTACACACAACTGTTTCACGTAAAAACTAGCTTACGCCTAAAGCATTTATGATTAGTGAGCAATTTTCCTGTCTGATTATACCTACCTGCCTATAACCTTAGAGCATACCTAATTCTTGGACATGCCAGTTTAACCTGTTCCATACACTAAGTCATTAACCAGCGACCAACCTATATGTCTAGAAAGTTTCGCAAATATTCTTATTACCATATAGTTTAATCTACTTACTCTAGACATATGAACCCAGCCTGATTGTATTACAATATAAAAATGTGCCAACATTTCCACACCATGAATGTACAAATACTGCTTTTATCTCTCTCGATAATGCTGTTGTGGCATTGTTAATGCTTTGTTAACCCCTGCACAAATAAAAAAAAATTACATCTTACCCATACTCAGTGGGTATAGTGTTTAGACTTTAGGATGCCATTTTGTTTTAGGTTAATGTAACAAGTCAGGGAATTTTCCATATCATGTCCAACTTCAAGTTTTAGTCTAAACATAGATAAGATGCATGACAATAGACCAATTAAGATGTTTCCATGTGAAATGACCAAGTCATGGTCTCGTATCTTTGCCAAGGTAATGTAGGTCCTAACATGACCTAATTGAAAATCTAAGTTATAAATGTGTACTTATTAATAATAGGAAGGCAGAGGAGATGATTTTAGATGCAGAGATGCTGCTCCATCTTACCAAGGCTGAAAGGTTGACTTGTTCAAGAGGGTATGTTATTCTATTTTACTATATACTTTAATCTTATAAACTCTGCTATTATTGTAATGGATTATTTTGTTTCTATGTCTATATTTATAATATTTCATAAAAGATTTTAAAAGACAAAACTTTATTGCTTCCAAAACAATCCCTATTTTATTGTATTTTCAATTATTTATAATTTAAATAGTAAGAGTTTCTCTAACTATATAATATATATTATGTGATAACTGTATAGTTAGCCTTTCTAAATTCTATGCTGTAAGACGTTACAGTGGTAAATAGGGGAACCAGCTGAGGTTACAACACGCAATGTGCTGAAAATGTACATGTTCCTCTCATCAAGACATCTGCAGTTATGTGCAAATCCTGAACCATAACTTCAGTATGGTAAAGCTGAGAATGTCATGTGTTCCATAGTGAACAATTCTCGACCTAAACATGAATGGATAAAATGTTGAGTCATAATTCTGGCCTTAAGTATGTGGCTTCTAAGGACTATACACCAGGGTTTAATTCTACAAGGACTATACACCAGTGTTTAATGATCACAAACTTTTTCTAATAGAACTAGTGCATCATTGTCTTCAACAAAGAACAGATTTACCATTTTGGTTTTATTTAATTTGAAACTTAATGTAGGTTGGCAGATCCCATTACATTAAAATAAAATAAAAATAAAAAGTAATTCAATAGTGTTCACAGACTCTCAACAATATATTTGAATGTTTGCTCTAGAAAATAGTAGCATTTTACAACGTATACTATATAAAAAGTTATTTTACAGCATAGCCAATTATATGGGACTGTACTGGACTCCACTTGAAAGGAGCTTTGATGTGCCGCAGTTTAACTTCTGAAAAATTGGCATTTTCCAAATTTTTCCATGTTTCATGTGTAAGTCTACAGCCATCTCCTATATATATCCATGTTGGGTCCAGGATTTGTTGAAAAAAATAGAGCCAGGAGGAAGGATCTCCTCGAACATGCTCCAGGAAAAAGAATCCTCCAGCCTGAAATGAAATATTGAATAGTCAATAAAAACAAGAAAAAAGTATCAGTGTTTCCACCATTTCTTTCAAAACATTAACAGGGTTATTTACTAAAGTGAGAATTCAAAGTGAGTTTAAAGCAATACTGGCGCTGGGTAGACTCTCTGCTCCCTCCTCTGTCCCGCACGAGCAGGTTCTAATGTGCATCAAATGCCGCACGTGCATTTCCCCTATGGGGAAAAATCTGGCGCTGGAGGTCCTCATGCAGAGCGTTGGGACGTCCAGCATGAGATACCGGACCAAAGGTCCATTTCAACTCAGAAAGCCCTCTAGGATCTGAGGTCTGAGGGCAGACTTAGACATGCAATGTTTAACATTGCAGCACTAAGTGCAAAAGGGACAGTGCACCCAGACCACTCCAATTAGCCAAAGTGGTCTGGGTGCCTACAGTGTACCTTTAAGGTCAAAATAGCCAAGCTTGAAAAACTTTTTAAGCCAGCCGTGTTTTCAGTTAAGCTAATTTGGTTTTAAAGGGCACCTGTCATGCCACAAACAATGTATGCTCATTAGATTGAGCATAAAATGTTATCTATATATTTTGCTAGCGGTTTTGATAGCAAATGTATAGATTAGGGGAAAATAGTATTTTCTCCCAGATATCAGTCAATGCCTTGGTGTGCAAGGCATTGACTAACAAGGGCGACCAGAAAATTAACAAAGGAAAACAAAAGGTCCCTCTTCTCTCCTCTCATAGCGGGCGATTCTAGTCACCATCTCCACACTGTCAACCTCCTCACAGACACATTGTCCCGTCCCCCCTTCACCTAGCCACACTTGCATTAATACCGCCTGTGTGGCAAACCCTGTATTATTTCTCCCAGCCCTCATCTGTTCATCAAGAAATTATTTTGCTACCCCTGGCTCCTTTCCTCCTTTCCTGCATAAATCTACATGGGAAGCTCAAAGAACATATAGTATAATCTATATGTAAAAGGATTATAGACTATGTGGGGGAAATGTCTATGACATTTTTCTTATCTGTAACTTTAGTATTTGGTAAATAATTTTTTTTCTAATGATTAGAAGTAGGTAGGCACACAGTCATATTTTGATAAGAAAATAACAACACAAATTATTCTAAGCCTAGGTGCTCACTTAAATAAGGTCCTATTCCCAAAGGGCCAAGTAAAATTATAGATAATATCCAATAAAGGAGCACAACCATTAATATGAAAAAAAAAATATTATAAGATAGGTACAAGGAAAATAGATATCTCACAATGCATATCAGGGGATTCAAACATGACTCACATGCTGAAAATGTACAGCAAGTTATCAAAGATATAAGCACCCAAACAGAATAATTAGTAAACATATACCTAAATATCAATGTAATAAGTGATTAAAGGAGATATCAAATCCTAACAACCCATCGAAAAGAAAAAAAAATAATAATAACAGACAAACAAATGCATACCAGAATTAGTGAGAGGAGGGAAGAAAAATCAATTAGCAAGCACCCAAAATTATTCTTTTCTGATATATAGTGACAGTATATACGGGTTTACACTTCCTATTTGGGACATGCATCTGCAAGATGAGTAAATTAGACATGTCCCTCCCCTTCACCCAATTAAAGGCAAACCCACCTCGGTTCTTCCTTGTCCCAGTTTGGATCAAGCGTCTGCTTCAATGGTGAGAAACACAGGCTGATGTCTGGGGGATGCGGTTCGATAGCTACCCGGGTGGTAAGCTGAGCGCCCAGGCTCCTTGTATGAGGTTACGGAGCACAGTACAGGGGATCCTTTATGCCAAATGAGTTCCCGGCTTTGCAAATAATGACGTTGCAGGCGGGTGTTGATGTGTTCCACCAAAGTTCCGGGTGCGCTACCAAGCATGAGAAAACTGGAACCTCAGGAAAAAGGCGCACACTTCAAAATTACTGAGGATATAAAGCTGTGCAGTTCCCTCTGGCAGAATGGATGCTTGTCAGAAGTGCTACTCCGTGTCACCAGACCCCCATACGGCTCAGAGGTTTTTGAGATGAAATTATATAATCACTGCTTTAAAAATCTGTTACTGATGGGAAAAGAAGAGTTCTTAAGGATATTTATTTGTCTTACATTGTTTCAGATATGTCTAGCCCTCCTGAAATGGATAAAGAGCATATTCCTAATCCTACACCCAGGAAAGCTACGTCCAAAACTAAACATTTAGTTTGCAATGAATGTGCTACTCCCCTTCCTGATGGTACTAGTCAGAACATTCTTAATCAG